AAAAAAATCAATTCTTTCTTCAACCGACTATAAAAAAGGAGTATGGGAAATTGAAGTACTCCAAAGTCAACAAATCCGCTGGAAGGCTAATTGGAATTTTTGTCTGCACATGCAACAGTGATCTGTGAGGGAAAATCACGAATGAACAGTGAACCTCAAACCCTCTCTTCTAAGAGAGTAGGGATATAATAATCGAAATTTATTTTATGTTTGTGGAGATTTGGTTTATTTGATGAATTGTATAAGTTTTCACGAAATTCTTTAGCTTTAGTGATTTTTAAGCTAATTTATGAACTAGCTGACAATTGGATTCAAATATTCTCCATTGAAGAGAATTTGAGTCCGTCCTTCTCAATTATCGATTTTTTTTGGGTTTGCAGAGATTTGATTTTTTTTTTTTTTTGATGGACTATGCAAGTGTAGTCGGAAATGTTGGTCTGTAGTGATTTTTGAAGTAATGAAGTATGTTAACTAATAATCTGATTCAATCATTCTCGTTTGCATATAATTTGCGTTAGTTAGTTACGACTTTTAGCTGTAGCTATAAGAATTGTGATGGTAGCCCAGGTAAATTCAATTAAACATCACATTGCTCAAGATTTGTCTATGTATTCAATTTTACTGTGTATGTGCATTGAGAAAGGAGTATTGAATTATTAAAGAACGTATTACATTTTTATTCTACTTCTATCTAGACGGAACACTTCTCTAAAGGCTATTTTTAACTTTTTACATTTTTCTTACATAAACTAGCCGCAGTTTAGAAATGCTTAAATGGGTACTGAGGTGTTTTAGATCTATGAGGTGAGACGCAAACCTGACCAAAAAATAATTCAAAAAAAATACAAAAATATGCTCATAATATATGTAACCCATCTTTAGAAAATCCGTAATTTATCAAATTAATAAAATTAAAAGTTTAAATGCAAACAAACATAAACTATATTAATAAAGTAAATCAAAATACAAAATTGTAATATACTAAAACATTAGAAAGGTTAGAATCTTTAAG